ATCTCTGATTTGCATTGTTGACAGAGGCAGGTGAGGAGCTACAGGGGCTGTATGAGTGTGACGTCAGAGAGCATGAGCTTAAGGAAGCCCTCTAGTAGAATTCCTCCCCTGCATTTCATCTTCCTGTCTGATGTGTGTAACTATTCCTTCCTCTTCCAGCTTCTGACCTTTGACCTCCTGGGCTGCCAATATTCTGGCTGTCCACCTCTGCACTACAAGCTACTGCCTCAACAAACCTAAGGCTGAAAGTGCAAATACCCCACTTTAGATATGGCTCCGTCATAAAGGGGTCATATGGTCCTGATTCTCCAGACATACCCTGTTGCATGCTGCTCTGGTGGCCCTCCCTCCACGTTTCCTCCCGTAGCCTTGCTCTCCCAGGAAGTAGGCCCACATTGCCTCTAGAAGCAGAACACTAGATGTTAGATCCCACCAGCTCCATCTCATGAACATGTCTTTACCTCTGTGTGGTGTGGACATCAGCTCTGGGACATCAGCACCCAGCACCCAGTGTTGTGATGCGTCAGCAGTGAGCACAAACTGTCCTCACACATGTATTATCCCCCTCCAAGAAACACACAACATGAAGGTGGTTGTGCCCTGTTTTATGTGGCATTTAGTACCACACCCTTGCTACAAATGGAACAAAGTCATTCAAAGAGCCTATTAGACCATAGATACCTGGACCCTTCTAGAAAGCTTGACTGTATTGGTCTAGAGCTGAGCTTGGGAATCAGCCTTCTAGCAAGTTCCCTGAAGATGCTGCTACATCAACTACTTGGATTTGATTGGCAGAGATGTAGAAACCAGCACCTACTTGAGCCCTACAATGTACTGGCCACTGTGTTAGGAAACTTGATCACAGTACCTCATTAGTGTGTGTGTGTGTGTGTGTGTGTGTGTGTGTGTGTGTGTGTATACACATTTGTGTGTGCACATGAGTATGTATGGGGGCACACATGTGCCACAGTACACATATTGAGGTCACAGAACAACTTGCTGGAGTGGGTTATCTCTGTCAAGTGGGTTCCAGAAATCAAACATGTCAGGCTGGGCAAAAAATGTTTCAGTGACCCATCTTCTGGCCTAATGCCTGGTTTTCACACGGATTTGGGGGACTGAAGCCGGCACCTCATGTTTGCAAGGCAAGCTCTGTACATACTTAGCCATCTTGCTAACCACTCCTCTTCCCTTTTAACAGATGGAATTACCCATGCTGGAAGAAATTGTGTGGCTCCCCTGAAGTCATGTGGCTTGTGGCAGAGGCTAGGCTTGAACTCTGACCTCTGAGATTGCAATTCCAGGCTCTACTTTCACTTGGGGGATGGAAACAGTCCCAGGAGGAAGAGGCCATCAGGAATGACAAGAAAGAGATCTGCCTGTGTGTGATGTTAACTAGAGATGGCAGACACACACCAGGAGGCCCCGGGGGGTGGGGGGACTCATGGGACAGCACTCAGGACAGTGCCCGGCCACAGCCTCCTGCAGTGTCTCTCGAGGGCTCCCATGAGATGCCCAGATGTCAGAAGGGGCAGCTCCCAGTGGTGGAGACACCCAACTGTGCTGCCAGGAGGCCACCTGGTGCCAATTTGTAGAAGCCACTGCCCACCTGAAGGGACCACTCAGCCATGCGTGCTTGACGCATGCTACCATTTTGACAAACAAGACTCAAATGTAAGAGGAGTCAAGAGCACCTCTCCCCAAGTCTAGTTACAGTTCCTGGTAGTGAGTGGATGGATAGGCAGGAATGGGGGGTTGCTTAGGTGTAATTGGGCTCTACTCTTCCTTGCCCTTCTTCTATTTGTAGGGCTCTGGTGCACTGGCCTGGACCATGGTGAGCTGGTGGTCATGAGGAGGGAACTGGGGCATGAGTAGACCTCAATCTCTCTGCAAGTTCTTCCCCCACTTGCCAGTTCTAAAGCCAGGAGCCACCGTTGCTGGTTGATAGGCATTCTCCTATGGGATCTGGGCCTCTTCTCTTCCTTACTCTCTTCTCTCCAGCCCTTTCTGCAGATTGGAGATGAAATGTGTTGATAGCCAGTCCTGGAGAAGGGTGAGACCCTCTCTCCTTCCCCGGGGACTTGTGAGTCCCATGTACAATGCAGCAAGGCTGGTGGAGTAAGAGGAATAAAGCAGCCCTGAGCCCAGGGCTCCAGGGGACAGATCCTCTATGAGATTTCAATACCCACGAGAGTGTAGGGATAACGCCCGCTCGGACATGGTGAACGGGTGGTAGTAGCGCAGGCGTTATCCCTACAGGAGAGGAGATGCTTGACTGCCACTTGGGGCTGGTTAAAATGCAGACCCTAGTGCGCTGGGGCCTCAATCCCGCATTTCCACACACATGCAGGGTTGCTGTATAACCATGAGGAGGTACATGCCGGCCACTGATATTCAAATATGTCCATATGTGGGATTCATGTGCTACTAGGTCCCTCAGAGAGCCTGGCTGTCTGGTCCCTGCCTTAGGTATCATGTGAACGCAAATAAGGGTGAGTTTGCCTTGCTCAATGTGAGGATCTACAGTCTACGATGACAGGAAGGACTATGGCACAGCTGGTCTCATAGAGAGGAAGCAGGAAGCAGGGATGTGGAGCTGGGCTAGCAAACATCAAGGCCTGTCCCCACTGACCCACTAACCCCAGCGAGGCTCACCTCCTTAAGATTCCACCATGTTCTAAACACAGCGCTGCCAGCTGGGGACCAAGCATTCAAACACTTGAGTATGTGGGGAACATTTCATATTCAGACCACATTTGCCAAATGGCAAAATCTGACCACTTGATGTTGGTTAACTTGAAACCTAACATCTGGTCAGTGTTGAGAATAAGTGTCTGTAGATTGCTCAGCCATAAATAAAACATCTATATTACGCACACACACACACACACACACACACACACACACACACACACACGCGCGCGCGCGCGCATACACATACACACACATGTGCATACACATACACACACACGGCTCAGAAGCCATCAAGACAGAGGGACCAGAAGGACTAAGAGCCAGAGGTTGGAGAGGACCAACACAAAACAGTGTCCGAGATTAAGCCAGCCAACACTCCATCAGGGAAGGGGTGGGAGGATGGGGCTCATGAGCTGGGAGCTATTGATGGATAATGGCTTCTAGAGGAGGGAGAGCCAATATTCTTTAGGATGTGGTCCCTAGTAGGTCAACCATGCTCCAGTGAATACATGGGCAGCACAAATTGAGCTCAGTAAGTTATACAATAAAACAGAGCGAGGCCATGAAGACGGGAGGGGGTGGGTCTGGGAGTAGTTAAGGAGTCGGGGTGAATATGAAAATACATTGTAAACATATACAGAATTCTCAAAGAATTAATAAAAATGTGATATAAATCTCAGACCACTTGACAATTAGGTGAGTAGAGACCACAACGGCTTTGCCCACTGAGACACCAGGCCGAAGATCAAAAACACAGAGCAGAAACGAGTCTGGGGTAGGGCACACTCAGCAGTGGGGGTTGGCTAACACCAGATATTTTGTGATTCCAGACAAGATGGGATTTGGAAAAGGATGTTTTCCTGGTGAAAAAATCAAGAATTGTCTGGCCCCTGTGAGTGGTCCCTCCTCCTTCCTCAACAAAGATGATGGAGGAGAGCAAGTTTCATTCCACAGAAGGGCATCCGCCTGTCTCCCACATGGAGACGGGATTGAAATAGCTTTTTCAGATCTTCCAGTTAAGCTGTCACCTGTGCCCCCCCCCCAGCTCTCCAAGGAGTCCCCCCAGCAGCAGTTATCTGAGCTCCGGAAGAACAGCTCTATCTCAGGGGTCTTCAGCTGTCTCTGCCACAATAGAGAGGCTCAGGGCCCCGAAGACAGTACACAGCTCCGGAAAGACAGGCTGAAGTGTGCAGGGTGCAGGCGGGGTAGCGAGACTAGGAAACCCCGCTGGGGCCATCCTTCACTGGTCAGCCCTGCCTAGGGGTCCTGTGGGGTCTGGGGCATGTTAAGGATGCAGCTGTCATGGGGCTGGGGCTGAGAGTGATCACAAGATGACATAGCTAAAAAAAGCTTCACTTTGAGGTGGGAAGGTAAATGCCACTTCTGGGCCAGCACCGCTCCCTGGACTGGGAACGAGATAATGAATTATTACCCAAGGAAATGAAACCTCTAATAAATTCAAAAGCAAAGCTGGGGGAGGCTAAACTCCATTTTTACGAAGGAGCTTGTGATTTATAAAGTGTCCGCTCCCTGGGCCTCCTGGGGCTCCATCAACTCTCCCTGTCCCTCCCTGTCTCCCCTGCAGGGAGGCCTCTGCCCCTTGGGGATGTACAGCCCCCCCCCCTGCCCCGACTTCAAAGCCCCCAACTGCCACTTGCCTCTGATGCTCCTTTTACTCTCCCTCGTGTGAACTATTCTCGCCCCAGTGGGAATTTAAAACCCGAACACAGCTGAAATTTGGGCCAATTGGTTTCGAGAGCTCAGTCCCCAAGGATTGGCCACTAGGAAATCTGTCTTCCTTAGGAGTCCATTCCGACCTTTGAGCCAACAAATTACGAGTTGAACCAGTTCAGAATAGGCAATCAGGCTCGGGGTGCAGCGCCGGCTCTGGGCGGGGCGCGGCTCAGGCAGGGGCCGCTAATCCACTTTGTCTGAATCGCAGTCCCAGCCTTCTCCCTGTTTGGGGAAGCTGGCTGGCTACATTTTCCTTCCATGTGTCACCTCTTAATAGCTTTCAAGCTCCATTCTGCAAACACTAGCCCCTCCATCCCTTGCCCAAAGCCATCAGACCCCTGCTGTCCGACCTCATTGCCCGTTTCCGCAGCGACCAGGCTTGTGATGTCATAGGCCTAGGCCGGTGAGTCTTCAGGTGGGAGGGACCACAGCATCAGGTACCCAGGAAGACAGGAGAAACAAAGACCTTGTTTGCATGCCATCAGCCATAGAATAGTGGAAAATGGGGGTGGGGTGGGGGGGTGGCGTGGAGGGATAGAAATGGAGTCTGAGTGGGTCCAAGGTCATTCCACAAGCAAGTTGAGTTAACATTGCTGAGCCCGGCTTTCCCAAACGCCTATGCAGCCTCCACACTACTGTCTGAAGAGCTATAATTTAGAAAGCCACTCGATCCTGGTGGAAAGGATACCAAAGGGTTCTAGGACCCAGTTTTCCCAGTGGGACTCAACCTGTCAATCCACCTTCTAACAGGAGTGTCCCGAAGCCCCCCAGCCCTCAAGGTCTGACTACATCACCCTTTCTGCACCTCTAGGTGGGCCCAGCCATGCCCCTAGATCTAGGGAAAAAAGGCTCCTTTGGGGTTGACAAAACGCCACCTGGGTTCTGTAATGCCAAGTGACTTCCAGAAGTGGGGCTCAGCTGGGACTCAAGGACGGAACACCTCCCCACACTCTGGTTCCGCTAGGTGATGCCTGGTGCATTTTTTTTTTTTTTTAAATATCTGACTCCAAGAGGAAAACACAGTCTCCATTTAGAAACAGAGACGCTGGCAGGCTTTCCCCAGTGTGCAAGCCCCACCGCACTGAGTTTCTGGTAATTTACCTGCGGCCTGAATTATTTAGATGGATTGAGCTCACGTGGACTTCAGGTGTCCCAATTACCTGGGTGATTTGCATGTTTACGAGTGAGGGTGATTGAACGCTAGCTCAAAGCAGATTCCAAATTCAGACTTTGGAATGGAAGCCCTTGAGGTCCTGGCCCCTGCTCCTTTCTACCCCCACCTGCAAGAGGAGAGTCACAAAGAGCAAGCCTGCAGTGAGCAGGCCAGGAACCCATCTCCTAACCAGAGCAGGAGGCATCACCGGGGCTTGGCCAGCCTCAGTTTCTCCTTCTAGTCATGCTGGCAAAGCAAAGGTAAGGATGGCTCCATGGAGAGAAGGGAGGGGGGAAAAAGCTCGAATTGATCATATTGATTGTCCAGATGGAAGGAAAGGAGGGAAAGAGGGTTCCTGCAGACCTGCCAGGAAGCAAAGAGTTAATCCTCTAATCTAGTCTGCCGGGAGCAAGGCGAGGGCTGAAGCTATTTTCAACCCGGAGTGTGCATACAGAATGCTTGATGCTGGCAATGGTTGCACTGGAAAGCTGAGAACATTTGCGAGTGTTCATGGCCAGAACTCCCCGGATGTATAGATCTGCCTCTTGCCAAGATGGCACTCCAAAGGTCACAGGGGCTCCCCCTTATTTTCAGTTAAAGCATCCCCCTCACCCCCACCACACATAGCATGTACTTCTCCGTTCCTTCTCTGTGTCCCTTCCTCCCTCCCTCTCCCTGATCACAGTTCCTACTGGGCTTCATGCAGCACCTGCAAATTCATGATGACCTTTTCAGAGCTGGACCAATTACACTCAAATAAAATGGCTTAAGCACCGGAGAGACGCATGTTTAAATTGTTGTGGTCGAGTGAGTAATCGCCAGCCTTGGGTAAGTGCCAGCACCCGGCCTCTCACTGTTTTCACCTAGAGAAGGCTTCAAACTGTTGGTGCCTGAGCCATACTCCCCAGAGAGTGTGATTTAGTTGGGATTGGAGGCGATGGAATTTATATTTTTGATGTTCTCTCCAGGGGAGGGCTGGTGTGATGGCCAGGGGGAGGGGTAAATGCTTGCTGCACAGTGTGAGGACCTGAGCTGGGATCCCCAGTACCCATGTAAAAAAAGCAAGTGTGGCAATATTCCCAGGGCATGGTGGGGAGAGGGAGGATCCCTGGGGCTTGCTGGCCAGCTAGCCTAGCCAATTTGCAAGCTCTAGGTTTAGTGAGATATCCTGTCTCAAAAACTAAAGTGGAGAACAGAGAAATTAAGGAAGACACCCAGTGTGGCCTCCCCACATGTGCACACCCACCCATACACACACACACGCACACACGCACACACGTGGAGAGGGGCACAGCTTCCACAGGTGATTTAACCATCCACAAAATCTCGATTTAAAAGTTTCAAAGCACTCATCAGTTAAGTCTTCGCACCAAAACTGATCAGGTTTGATATGCTGTTAATGGGATCAAGACACACATTCTATCTGCCAAGTAGGCCACCACCTTGAAACAAAACAGCCATGCGAAATTTTCACATGGGTATGATGGCAACTGGTCCTAACGAGAGTCGGTCTGTGCAAGGGTAACTTGTACCACATCCAGTCTTTTGTGTTCATGGAGGATGTGAGCTGTCCTGCCTGAGCACGCTCCACCTTATTCCCTTGAGCCAGAATCTCTCACTGAGTCAGGGCTAGGCTGGTAGGCAGCCAACAAACCCCATCTATCCTCCTGTCCCTGCCTCCCTCCCAGTGTTGAGAGCACAGGTGCACATGACACCAGGCCCAGCTTTTATATGGGTATTGGGGATTTGAACTCAGTTCCTCATGCTTGCACAACAATCAGCCTTATCCACAGAGCCACCTCTAGCCCCCAAAGTCTTTGCTAAACTGCTGTGTAGTTGAAGGAGGTTGTGGTGGGGAGTAGTGGCTATTTCTTAAATGTCTATGTGCTTGGAAGACTGTGTGGTTTGAATGAGAAATGGCACCCCCCCCTCCCAATAGGGTCAAGTTGTAGCTGGAGTTATCTCCAGTCCCACATGGGCCTGCAGCCACTCAGACCCAAATAAACACACACAGGCTAATATTATTTAAAACTGCTCGGTCATTAGCTCAGGCCTACCACTGACTAGCTCTTACACTTAAACTCAGCCCATTTCTGTTAATCCATATGTTGCCACGTGTGGCTTTACCTGTGTGCCTGTTACATGCTGCTCCCTGGACGGCGGGCTGGCATCTCCTAACTCAGCCTTCCACTTCCCAGAATTCTCCTCTCTTTGTCCTGCCTATACTTCCTGCCTGGCTACTGGCCAGTCAGCATTTTATTTATCAATCAATCATAGCAACACATTCACAGCGTACAGATATCTTCAGCATAAAGTATTTGCACACCTGGTTCCCAGTTGGGGGCGCTGTGCGGGGGAGGTTTAGGGGGTGCAGTAGCCTTTCTTGGCGGAAGTGCGGCACTGGGAAATGGGCTTTGAGGTTATATAGCCCTGCCCTGTTTACACTTTGTCTCTGCTTCATGCTTGTGGTTGAGGACGTGAGTTCTCAGCTTTATGTCCTTGCTACCCAGCCTCCCTGCCATGATGAACTCTGGAAACTTAAGCCAAAATAAACACTTCTACAAGTTGCTTTGGTCATGCTGTTTTATCCCATCAACAGGAAAGTAGGCTGGAATTTTATTTATTCTCTCTGGCCATATGCTACAGGGTATTGTCTACTGAATTTTAGATGGGGAAACTAAGTCTTGAACAGGACAGGTACCTCACTCCAATTTACAAAGCTCGTAGTGGTGAGGGACTGTTTCCCACTAGTTTCATATTTCTTTAAAAAAAATCTTTGGGAAACTTTTATTTATTTATTGTGTGCATGTTTGTGTGTATGTATTTGTGTACATGTGTGTCACAGCATGTGGAGGTCAGAGGACAACTTTATGGAGCCAGTTCTCTCCTTCTGCCATGTAGGTTCTAGGGACAGAACTCGGGCCATCAGGCTTGGTGGCAAGCACCTTTACCCACTGAGCCATCCAGCTGGCCTGAGACTGATATTTCTATGTTTCCTGCAAGCAGAGTCCCTTTATTCTGAACTCTGTAGGACTCTGCATGGTAAACAGCTTTGGGAGAGATGCTGTTGCCCTCTGAACAGAGAGTGGGCAGACTCACTTGTCTGTGATGAAAGACAGAGTCCCTAGGCTCAAGGTTCCGCTTTTGTCCCATTGTGTACACAGGTACTACCAGGCTTTCTTTGTACAGTCTGTGGGAACTGTGGCTGGAGGGACAGGCGCACAGGCGACACCATCTGGATACCACGATGGGGGCGGTAAACTCTCCTTTGTCCTGAGCCTCAAGTGTCTGGTTTCCTGCCAGTGTCTGTGACACAGCTGGACCTCAGCTGCCTTGTGGGCTTAGGAATAGGAACTCATACTCTGCCAGGTTCCTGGTGATGAGTTTGGGTCTGGTGCCTTGATCCTTTTCTTCTAAGCCTGTGTGTTCAGGAGCTGGAGAAGCAGGCGAGGAGACAGCACATATGGCGGAATCCAGACCCTCTGTCAACTCGGCTTTGCCATTACAAGGATGATGGCACTGACGAGTCCCCATCTCCTTTCTGTGAGACAAATAAACAGACTGACTCTGTGCAAGAGTTAGAGAGAGAGAGAGAGAGAGAGAGAGAGAGAGAGAGAGAGAGAGAGAGAGAGAAGCCGTGGGTCTAAGGGGATGCCCTGTTAGCTTCAAAGCTTGGCAATGGCCCCTCTTTACTTGCCCTGGATCCTGCAGAAGGGCCTCTGGATCAGCATAGGCAAAGCTGGCACAGCCTTGCCTTGTCAGCCTGAGGGCACCCACACTGGGGGTGTCAGGACAGGAGCATACCCCCCTTCGCCCACTTACTTTTCAAATGAGAGATTTCACTTCTGGTGTGAATTCTGGTGGCCTGTGTGACCCTTGGACTGGGATCATTTCTCTTTAAAGTTTTGACATTTTTAGAAGCTAGATGGTCAGGGCGGGAGGCCAGCTCAGTGGGTAAAGAGCCCACCGTGCAAGCCTGAGGACCTGAGTTCAGATCCCCAGCCCCCACTAGAAGGGTCAGGTGTGTGGATGTGGATACACCTACAGTCCCACATCTGAGAGGTGAAGACAGGTGCATCGCCAGGGCTTTCTGGTGGGTGGTTTACCCAGGAGTAGAGCTTCAGGTTCAGGGAGAGACTGTCAGGAAAACTAAGATGAACAATGATAGAGCAAGATGCCTGATGTCTACCTCTGCTTTCCACACACACGAGCAAGATGAGCATACCCACACATGTGCACACAAATGTATACGCACAAATGGATGACCATGGGCCAGGCCTCTCGGTATCTTCAAAAGTTAGTTTTAGCAACCTTCTTTTTTAAATTTTTATTTTGTTTTAATTATGTGTACGTATGTGGATTTGTGTACATGAGTGCAGGTGTCCAAGAAGGCCAAAAGAAGGTGTCAGATCCCTTGGAGCTGGAGTTACAGGCTGCCTGGAATGGGTGCTAAGAACCGAATTCAGGTCCTCTGCAAGAGCTGTACCTGCTCTTAACCAGGGAGCCACCTATCCAGCCCTTACCACTACTCTTAAACCAACCGAGGTCCCAGGTAAGCCTCATTGGGAGAGGGAGGCTTGCTTTGCCTCTAATTACCCTCCCAGCTAATGAATGAGCATCTCATATGCAATGGTGATTTCTAGTAGCGGGTTCTGTGTAATTTTCAGCTGTTAATTATCATTATTAAGAATTATTAAAAGTAAGGACCCTGAATGTTCCAGGAACATTTCAATTGCTTTCTAGAGTCATTTGGAGTCTATTCAATAATCTTAGAGTGAAAGGATGATTACCTCAAGAAGCTGATGCTTCAAGGGGGTAAATGTCTTGTCATTGGGGCCAGGAAGTGGCAGAGGTGGGAATCCACATCACAACTGTATAACTCAGAGCTGAGAGTTTTGTTCTTTTTTGTTTGTTTGTTTTTTTGAGACAGGGTTTCTCTGTGTAGTTTTGGTGCCTGTCCTGGATCTCACTCTGTAGACCAGGCTGGCCTCAAACTCACAGAGATCCGCCTGCCTCTGCCTCCCGAGTGCTGGGATTAAAGGCATGCACCACTACCGCCCGGCCGAGAGTTTCATTCTTTATGACTTATTTTATTTTCAATTATGTGCATGTGTGTGTATTTGTGTGTGTGGGGGGGTATGTACACATGAGTGCAGGTGCCTGTGGAGACCAGAAGAGGGCATTAGGTCCCCTGAAGGTAGAGTTTCACTGAATCTCCTGGAGCTAGAGTTGTAGGCAATTGTTAACCACCTGACGTGGATGCTTCAAACCGCAGTAAGCACTCTTAACTCCTGAGCCATCTCTTTAGCCCCCAAACTGAGATCTTCTGTATCCAGCTGCCTCTTTTTACTTTGAGATATTTTTGAGGCAGGGTCTCACACAACCTGAGCTGGCCTCAGATTTCCTATGTAGCTGAGGATAACCCTGACTTCCTGATTCTCTTGCCTCAACTCCCAAGTCCTGGGATAACAGTCACACACATCTACCTCTTTTTTTTGTTGTTGTTGTTTTAAAGAAATTGTTATTTTTATTTATGTGTGTGTGCATGCAATGTGTGTTCAGGTGAGGCCAGAAGAAGGTGTCATATCTTCTGGAGCTGGAGTTACAGGTGTTTGTGAGCCAACTGATGTTGATGCTAGAAACCAAATTCAGACCTTCTGGAAGAGCAGCAAAGGCTATTAACCACTGAACCATCTCTCTAGTTCCTAAATACTTCTTTAAAAAGAGCTATATTGTGATAGAACATACACACTATGCAATTGGCCCACTGGAGCAGGGGAGAGCTCAGTAGGCAAGGTGCGTGTTGTGCACACATGTGGTCTAAATTCACTCCCCAGAGCCCGGGTGAAGACTCCAGATGTGGCGTACACTTGTAATCGCAGCACTGGGGAGGTCACTAGGGTAGCCAACTACCCTAGTCTCATAAGAGAGTTGCAGGCCAACAAGAGAACTTGCATCAGAAAACAAGGTGGCTGGCTCCTGAGAAATGGCACCCAAGGTTGAGGGAGCTGGTCACATGGCATCCATGATTAGGATCAGAGGACAAATGTACACACATTAGTGTTCAGCTCCCTTTCCCCACTTTATACAGTCCAGGATCTCCTGCCCAGGGGGACAGCCCTACCCACAGTTAAGATAATTAATGTAATAGAGATAGTTCTCCCACAGGCATGCCCAGAAGCCTATTGCCACACACACATGTGCATGCATGTGCGTGTATGCACACAGACACACACACACGCACATGCTAATTCTCCCATTAAAGGATACCATGCCATGGTGTTTGGGGTATATTCTCAGATATGGACAGATATCATCACCAAGGTCAATTTTAGACTATTTTGATCATGCCCCCAAAGAAACTCTGCATTTTCTGTAGTGAGAACCCTCTACCCTGCAGCCATATTATATCAATCTCTAAAGTAGCTAGGGGTGCCTCAAATGTTGTAATATATTTATATCATGTACCAAGCCATTATTGCCTCTTCAGGTTATGAGTTGTCCAAAAAGCCCCATGCCTTTTCTCCGGCATTGCCCCGGGGTGGGTTTTCTCCCCTACCTCTGGAAAGCACCCCAGAAAGAATCAGGAAGAGAATGCCCCTGGTGGGGTGAGAAAAGTGGGGCCCTCAGAAATTTTCCTGTAGCCTGAACTCAAGCCTTGCATCCAAGGGCACAGAAGACAACCCCCCCATCTTCTCCAGACCCAGCTGGGCCCCTGCAAAAGCCCCTCATTAGTCTCCTAATGAGAGCTAGCTCCTTGGGGGAGGTGGCTTTACCTGAGCATGGCCTTAGGGGCAGCAGATTTGACCATGAGCTTGGTGTACGTGTGTGTGTGTGTGTGTGTGTGTGTGTGTGTGTGTGTGTGTGTGTGTGTGTGTGTGTGTCATCCTGGGTCCCAAAAACTGGCCACAAAGGACCCAGGTGCTTATGTAGCATGTTGGCAATACCAAAGCTATTCTAAAGAAATGAATTTATAGCCTTCCCTTTGGCTACAGGACACTTGTACTTTGGTTAGAAGAAAGAGGGACTGTGGTGGGGAGGGGTGGCCTCAGGAAAGGGTACAAAGAAGGGTTAGAGCTGCCCCCCTGGGGGGGAGGGCACTACTAGGGAAACTCTGGAACAGGCTGTGCTTGCCCTGCCTGGAGGTGTCTAGACAACGGCCCATGGGAGACTCTGGTACAGGGCTGCCTGGGAACAGGCTAACTTCCCAGCTCTTCCTGTGGATGGAGCAGCCTGCCAGTTTGGGGAAAACCCTCCAGCTGGCTGAGTAGTGTAGATCTTGGTGGCTAGAGGCTGGTCAGGTCTTGTCCATGGAGCCTGGAGGTGGTGGAGGTGGGGCTCAACGGTCACATCTGTGTAGCAAGCTTTCTTTTGGGCCACCAATCAGATCCCAAATAAAGACACAGAGACTTATTATTAGTTATGAATGCTCAGCCTTGTCTTATGCTTGTCCCACTAGCTCTTATAACTTAAATTAACCTGTTTCTCTTCATCTACATTTTGTCTCGGGCTTTTTACCTTTCTTTCATTCTGTGTGTCCTGCTTTTCCTGCTCTTCTCTGTGTCTGGCTGCCTGGCAGCTGCCTGGATGACTGTCCCCAGATGTCTCCCTCTCTTTGTCCCTAGTTCTCTTGAGCCTAGAGTCCTCCTCCTATTTATTCTCTGTCCGCCAGCCCCTCCTGTCCCTCTACTGCCTAGCTATTGGCCATTCAGCTTTTTATTAGACCAATCAGATGTATTAGGCAAGGTAAAACAGCAACACATCTTTACATAATTAAACAAATGTGGCATAAACAAATGTAGTTATAGTTAAAGTAATATTCCATAGCATAAACAAATGTAACACATCTTTACATCGTTAAAGTAATATTCAACAACACATCTGTATGGCCCAAAACTTAGATTTTCTATGCCCAACTGCCTTTTTTCATTTTTCATTTCAGTTTTGATTTAAAAAAACAAAAAAACAGGGTCTTGCATAGCCCAGGCTGGACTGCAACTCCCTGTGTAGCTGAGGGTGGGGTCTGAGGGGTATGGACAGGCACCCACAGCACCTGCTACAGCCTAGTGCCATTCAACTCTTGGCCATCCAGTGGGGCGGGAGGAACCTGGTTAGAAGCCCTTGGAGCTCTGCTTTTGCTGTCTGAGAATGCTCACAGTGCAGAGGGGCAGCAGGGAGGTGATTATATGAGGTTTAAAGACAATCATTGGTATAGTCCTGTCCCTTACTGCCAAAACCAGAGAACATCTGAGCAGGTATTAGTCTACAGGATCGCTGGGGGGCGGGGGGGCACCTTACTCCAGGAGAGAGGGAGAGTAAGTTCCATCCCTAGGGGAACACAGGGAGTGACCTCAGATTTCTAAAGCTTATCAGAACTTCTACTTTCCAAGCTGCAGGCTGGCATCAACTCCCACCACACCTCCCAAGCCAGCCCTGGAAGTTCAGAGCCCACAGGAGGCCTGGCTGGCCCTTGAGGGCTTCACTCCTCCTGCATGCGAGGACCTTTCCTAAGCCCATCTTCTCTGTATTGCTACTTAACAGCATAGCCACTGATTCACAATCCTACACATTCATGTGTTTGTCTTCTGTGGGTCTGTGACGAGACAAGTGACAGGAGCTGGTAACCCCTCTTGTCTTCCTTTGATGAGGCCTAGCTCCTGAGCATGCACCCCCAACAGTACCCCCAACACTATGGCTTCATGTGTAGGGGGTTATATCTCAGTTACAACCATCAGCTAGCTGCAGTACCCTTAGGAGAGGGGATGGAGGCTTGCTCCTGGCTGTGTCTTCATACACTAGCACTCAGACATCTATGGGTGATGCATGGATATTCCAAGGTGGAAACTTGTATATACTTATTATTAGTGTGTATGTAGTGTATGTAGGGCACATGCTCCCTGGCATACTTGTGGAGATCAGAGGACAGCTTTCAGGAGCTGGTTCTCTCCTTCCATCTTATTGAGGTAAGACCAACTTGCTGTTTCTGCTGCACTGTATACTTCAACCTAGCTGGCCCATGACCTTCCTGTTTCAGCCTCCTAGCTCCCAGCAGAAGCAGTGTGATTACAGATGCATCCCATCACATTCCACTTTTTACCTGGGCTCTGGGGATCAAGCTTGGGTCATCAGGCTTGTACAGCAAAGGCCTTACCTCTGAGCCATCCTGATGGCTGGCCTGTACATGCTTGTAAGGGTATTTGTGCACCCATGTCTGTGTCTATTCTGTGTGTATCTTCCCTCGACCCCGTGTGTGTATGTGAGAGAGACAGACAGACAGAGAGACAGACGAGAAAGTCCTTAACAAGCACAAGCCTCTTTTCACAGCATTTCAGGAGAAGGAGGATGTTGCTTCCTGAGACCTGACTCCATAAGCCAATCTGCATCTTCCCACAGCTCCTCAGATTTTCAAATATTTATACTCCTATATTTAAAATCTGTGAAATCTCCCTCTCCTCTCCTCATACCTTATGTGCTTGTGAGCTCTCTGTTATATGCCCCCTCTCCATCTCACTCCCTCTTTGTCTCTAGATATGTGTGTGTGTGTGTGTGTGTGTGTGTGTGTGTGTGTGTGTGTGTGTGTACATGTACGCACATGCACGCGAACACACACACGCGAACACACACAGGAACACACACACACACACACACACACACACACACACACGGCTAAAGAAACTAAAAGGGGGGCATATTTTGTACTTCTAAGTTGGTCACAGGAAGGGACACACCATCACCCTGACACATCCAGCCAGGGAGGGGCACAGAGACTCCAGCTCTGTCTATGAGCTCTGACTGCTCTTGTGGAGAAAGTCTGCCCTTCATGAGGGGTTCCCCGGGCTGCCACCAAGCTGCACAGAAGGAGAACTAATTGGTGTTTGCCCAGGGCTTGGAGAGTAGCTCTGAGAAAACATCACTCACCTGGGTTGCTGGTAGATTAGGGGTCTTATCTCCTGGAGTTATGATATCGCAGAAGCCGCCTGAGGGGCAGAGGATCCCCCCTCCCCCCTGACACAATCTGTGTACGATCTCCATAGAGCCCACTCTATAGCTGAGCCCCTGCACCACCCAACTTCCCAAAAAGAAAGACCTTGAAGGGGCCAGGGAGAGAGTTCAGTCAGTAAAGAGCCTGCCGCCGAAGCATGAGGACCCAATTCCAGACCCCCAGCGCAAGCAGCAGTGTGGACTTGTAACCCCAGCACCGTGAGAGTCAGGGGTCAGGAAGACAAGCAGACCACTGGAGCTCATTGGCCAGCAAAGCTTAGTTGAACCAGTAAGCCCCAGGTTCAGTGACAGATCCTGACTTAAAATAAATAGTAAAGAGCAACAGAAGAAGACATCTGACATTGACTTCTGACCTCCACACACCTACACATGTACCTGCATACCCACGTGAACTCACATATACACACACACGGGGCGGGGGGGGCACCCTGTAACCGTTACCTGTGCTGAGACCCCTCTCCTTTGCAGGCTGGGCCATCTCTCCTCTTCAGCCAGAGCACTTTCCCTGTCAAGTCCAGGAAGGACCCCATCCCAGCTTCCAAGGCTCTGGGTGGGGTGGGGGTGGGGTCTTACTCTGTAGAATCATTGCCACTCTTGTGCCCAGCTGCCCTAGACCAGCATGTGGAAGGTGCAGAAAATGCCCCTACCAACACAAAGGGAGTGCCAACAGAGCTGGAACAGACCTGCTTGAGTCAGAACGTACTTGACAGTGGCAGGAAGAGTCTTGAAAAATGGGAGTTGAAAGGCACAGAGGCAGTGATGGGCACAGGCTGGGTGGCCTTTATCTGAAGCACTGAGGCCAGAAGATTTGAGATTCCCTTTTTAAACTTTTGGATTATTTGGATTTCCATAATGAAACATCTTAGGGATGGGATCCAACTCAAAAAAACAGGAATTTTTTTTTCTCTGCTTCCTAGACATGCACATCACCAAATGATAACTTTGTGATGTGTTTCACACACCTTCATTTTAGCTATAAGCTGCCACATGAGATCGGGGTGAGGTTTTTCATTTGCAATGTCTTGTAGGCACTGAAAGCACATTGATTTTTCCTACCTCTTCTTAGAAAAATACCCTTGTTTATTTATATGTGGGAGGGGTGTGTGCTTGCCATGGTGGTGTGCGCATGTGCAGGTCAGAGGACAGCTTATTAGAGTCAGCTCTTCCCTTCCACCATGTGGGTCCCAGGGATCAAACTCAGCACTTCGGCAGCAAGCTCCTTTACCTGCTGGGTCACCTCTCCACAGATCACCCTCTCCTAATACTTCAGTGAAGATAGCATTATGTCTATTTTACTCTAGACCAACGGTTCTCAACCTTCCTAATGCTTCAACCCTTTAATACAATTCCTCAAACTGTGGTGGCCTCCAATTGTAAAATTATTTTTGTTGCTACTTCATAACTGTAATTTTGCTACTGTTACGAACAGTAATGTCAATATCTGTGTTTCCTGATGGTCTTAGGTGACCCCTATGAAAGGGCCATTCGATTCCCAAGAGAGTTGTGACCCATAGGTTGGGAACCACTGTTCTAGAGAGAACTGAGATGCAGAAAGAATGAGTAACTTGTCCAGGGACCCATAGAGTAGGGCAGTCTGCCCAAGGATGTCCAACTCTAACACTGGGGCTCCCAGCCATGGTGTGTGAATTTATTGAGCCGTTTTATATAAGTATATCAAAAGAAGAAAAAGTTCTGCTGGGGTGTAGCTCTGTTGGTAGGGGGCTTGCCTGGCATCCCCAAAAACAGGGAATAGAAAGTCTTTCAAGAGGCAAGCCATGAAGACAGGAATGAATGAAGGTGGCATGAGTCCTACTTGTCTCCACACCTCTTCCTACTGTTCCCTCTACTCCTTAAGTGGCCTGAATAGAGCCTATCCACAGCCTCCTACTCTCCGTGGTTTCCCAGGGCTGAAAAGGAAGAAGTGAGACCAGGCAGTCACACCCCGGGAGCTGTCCTGTATGATCACCTTGGGGTGTTCCAACCAACAGCACCAGCCACTTCCTACAATGGACCCTTTGGGTAGTATTGCATTCCCTCTCCTGGTCTCTGGGGATCAGAGGACATGTGTCTTAACTAGAGCTACCAAGGAAAGGGCATGTCTGTGGGGACATTTTCTTGATTAACAATTGATGTGGGAGGGTCCAGGCCACTGCAGGTTGTGTCACCCCTGGTCAGGTGGTCCTGGGCTATATAAGAAAGGATGTTGAGCAAGCCATGGGGAGCAAACCCTTAAGTGACCTCCAGGGTCTTTGTTTCACTTTCTGCCCCCAGGATCCTGCCTTGAGTTCTCACCCTGTCTTCCCTTGAAGAGGGACTGTAGTCTGTAAGCCAAATAAGCAGTTTCCTGGCCCAAGTTCCTTTTGATCAGTGTTTTATCATGGCACCAGGAAATCAAATGAATACAGGATGTAACAATTCAACAGATCCTGCCCCATCATCCCTGATGGGATTTTATATGGCACTGTGCCAGCCTGTTGGCCCTCATTATTACTAGTCCATGAGTAAAGACAGGAATTTTTGCTCTTCCATCTTACAATGTCTATTTACTATTTTCTTGGAAACTGCATATCGAATAGCTTGCTTCACATACTCTAAACATGGGTTTCTCAAACCAGTAATTGTCCCTGAGGGGCAGATGGGAAGTCAGTAGTTTATTCTACAATTCTTGACTTTGACATCCTTTTTTCATTTCCAGGAACAATCTGACAGAGAGAGCCTCAGATGGGCTGCAGCTGTTCCTGACCCGATGACTTCTGGCTTCACGGAAGGAGTTGTTTATCGCCCAAGAGTTATGAACATATCCTAGGCGGCTGGAAGATGCTTTAAACATCGTGCACAGTGTGAATGGCCACCCCGAGGATCTGTTGATAATTCTGAGCCAAGGTCAAACCAGGTTGTGTTTTGACCTCTTCCTTTTGAATATATATTTTAATGACTTGAAATGCCTTTTGGATCATCTACACAGCTCTGTTTTGATCGGAAAAAAAAAAAAAGAAGAAATATCAGTAGGCTCCTTTTTGTGGAGCCACCACTTAAATGTCACAGAAAAGCAAGGGGGCATTGGATCTGATCCTCAGTAACTCCAAAAGGCAACCTTAGGAATTGCTTCTATAAAAAAGAGCAGCTTGTTTGAGGGTGTATCCCCCCACCAGCCCCGGGAAGATCCTCCTCATATGTCCCTTCCATGTGATTTTTGGTTTGTGACAGCACCCCTCTCCCCTCTTCCTCTGGCTCGTGCCTTCTGTTTGGTGGCTCACATTCCTGGTGATTTTGACCAGCCCTACTGCCCCATGCTAGGTGGTAGTAACCTTTGTGTGCTATTGAAATCACTTGTTGAACACCAACTTTCCCCACCAGACTATCATTTTGACATGAGCAAGATGCACTCCTGTCTCTCCCCTGGGTATAAGCCCTGTGCCTAGCGCACGGCCTGCCGTGGAATAGCCACCTGTCAAATATTTATGGGATGAACATAGCTACAGACCTCCGCCGCTCTGTGAAATGCACAAAGGCTGCTAATCAGAAGTAAGCAGAAATGCAGAAGGAAAGATGAACAGGCCAAAGGGGTAGGAAGCAAGCACCAGCTGGCTGAAAAGACAAAGGGGCTGGGTTTTCTCATCCTTGGAACAGGAGCGAGCAGGGCAGCAGGATACTGCTGGATTCTGGGCACTCCCATTCACCCAGCAACCTGACCTGACAGGCAGGCTCCCAAGTTGGGCTGGCTGTCCCTACTTTACAGATGTGAGGACTGAAGCTTGCTTGAGGTGTCCAAATGGCTGACATCCATAAAGTCCATATGCAGCTGGAAGAAGTTTGCACCCAAGAGCACGCACGGAGCATCCAAGCTGAAAGGCGTAGCAGAATAGGCAAGGACAGACTGATCCAACCTCTGCCGCTCACTCCCAGAGGGACCAGCCTACCTGCCCCAAGATCATAAATGAGCTTCTGCTCACAGCCAGGAAAACAGAGCACCCAGATTGGAACTAAAGGCCAACAGGGTCCAAGTGGGGAAACACCTCTGGCCTCACCTTGACAGTGAGCTGGGGTAGCAGTCAGGGCTCAGAGGGAGGGCTATTCAGTTTCCTTCCTATTCTCAAGCCTTCATCCATGCCTTTCCAGACTTGTAGAGACACCAGCCAGACTGGCTGGGGGCCCAGAGAGGAGGGCACCAGCTGGAGCCGCTTCGACAGCACAGCCAGAGTTGTGCGCAGCAAGGTTGGGGGGGGGGGGGGACTGTCTTTCTTCCCAGCTGTGCAGTTGCTAGGCCAGAGGCTTGCTGTCCCGGGAGGATCCTTCCCATTTGTAATCCCAGTCTCCATGAGCTACACCCAGACATCCCAGCCCAAGGAGAAGGAGGGTGCCATTATGTACCCCTGGTACAGAAGAGCTGTGTTTGCCCTGGCTTGTGTCTCTCGATATGGACCCTTCTGGCGACACTGGCCAAAGGACCTCCCATTCAAAGCCTTTGTTTCCACTCCCATCTGTCCATTATTCAGAACATAACTCCTTATGCATAACTAAAGATGGTAACTAGAAATCAGAGCCTTGGAGAAGTGGCCACCCTGGGAGGGCTTCGCATCCTACAGAGCACCGGCCCCTGGGACCCCTGCCCTGAGTGGATGGGGTAGAATCCTCTCCCAGGCTTTAAATCGGCACTGTAGCCAACTGTGTTGACACAGGAGGAATAGCAAAGGATTGGGGTAGCTAGAGAGAGCTGCCCTAGAGGGCTCCCACCTGGGCGTCTGGCTTTCGGGTCTGTCACAGATGTGCTTGGGGGAGCGGCTTTCCCTGCATCAGCAGAATGTGTGTCTTGGCTCTTGCCTGTTTCACTGGGGGGTGACCGCTCTTCTTCCTCCGGCCCTTTGTCAACTGCAATGCAGCCACTGTTTCTGTCTCAAAGCGGACAGAGCAGTAAACTGGAGAGAGTGAAAAGATCCACACTTGTCAGAATGTCTTGATGGGGCACGTGCCACGTGGTGGCTAGAGGTTATGTTGCAGAAGGGACTTCCAGGAGGGGAAATCAGGACACCCAGTCTGCGGCCATGGGTCTTGTCTCTCTGACTCTCCAGTTGACACATCTTTGGCTGAAATCTCAGCTAAGCATGGAGGATGGGCTGCTTCTGGCTTTCTCTTTGTTGTCCAGGATCCTGGAGCAAAGGTCTGACTCAGTGAGAGAGCTCACATTTTCCAGACTTACTGCAGTAGACAGTGGTTAGGGTGAGGGTGAGGGAGAGCTGCATGGTTCACCCGTGCAGAACAGAGAATCACTTGCTCCCTGGGGCCTCACGTGAGAAGGCTAGGCTGCGATGGCCAGCCCCACTGGCTTCCCTGAGGGTCAGTGGTGCCACACCCTGTCTCTCTGAGAGGACTCCATGTCACTGGTCATCCCCCTAAGACCTCAGGCTCATTAAGATGAGAAGGGACACTGGGAAGGCAAGCCAGCTCTGCCACCATCCTTTTGGGACTGGCAATTTCTGCACAGAGAGCCTAGGGGTCAGTAGGTTTGTCCTCAGAGTCTCGGATCTTATGACCATCTGGTTAAACCAACTAGAGAGGAATGGGGCCTCGACCTGCCCTTGCCTTTACCTTTGGTATCTCAGTCCACAGTGACCCATTTCTAGACAGCCAGGAAAAGTCCATGCAATGGCATGGTCTTTATCTCTGAGGAGTTCACAGCCTGGCCATGGGGTGGACTCCATGCACTCAAGAACTAAGACTTGAATCCAGAAACATGCAAGGAGATCTGAGCAGGATACATACATTCTGATTCCTGCTATAGAACATTCTAGAGAAGGCAAGACCATGGAGACAGAAAACAGACCATTGTTCACCAGAAGTTCAGGGAACCGAACCAGGGAGAGAAGGATGAATGGGTGCAGTAAAGGGGGTTTTAGGGCAGTGAAATGCTTCTAGATGGCAGACAGGACACTAGACATTTGCCCAGACACACCACATGTATACCATCAACAGTAACCCTAGTGCAGACTGTGGCTTCGTCTAATGTAACCCATCGCCCTAGTCCTCTTGCCCCACACCACACTAATCAAGACACTCCCAGCAGGAGCAAGTGAGGTGGGAGTGAGGAGGCACATGGGAACTCTCTGTACTGTCAAGTCATTTTCCCCCCTGCAAACTGCTTAAAATCATAGTCTGTTCGCTGCAAGAAAAATGCAAGGTGGAGAAAGAAAGGGAGGATGGACTCACCGTGGGAAGGCTAAGCAGGGAGGGTGGGAATGAGAAGAAAAGTTAGAAACCAACTCTAAGAGGAGCAGGGCTCTTAAAGATGTTCCTCCCACACAGAACCCAAACTCGCATCTGTTTGGACCTGAAAAAGACCTTGTAGGTCAGAGCCCCTCGTAACAGCAGAATGAGAGGGAAGGGAAGAAAGTGTGGGGGTACATTTTAGGGAGTGGAGCCCGTGGCACAGAAGGCACAAACCACAAGTGCAATTAGTCAAAAAAGAACTTGAAATTAAAAAACGATTTCAAGCCGAGGAGGGGAGTACATAAGTTACCGCGTCCCCGAGACATTTATGAATAATACAAATGCCGTGAGGTGCTGGAGCCGGGGAGCACAGTTAATTAATATGTACAGGAGCAGAGATGCTCTCGAAAAACAATGGCGCTGCTTCCCTCTTGCTGGAAGTAAAAATATTTCCAGAAAGACGGACACGTTTATTATTTCCTCGCATAATTACCTTATTGTGGAACGGTTGTAATGGAACACATTAGAGACATTAGAGGCACTGAGCACCTGCCTGCCTACCCTTAATGTGCTTTGGTTCCATGGTGCTGGGCTCGGCAGGTAGGCAGAGGCTGGCGGGGGGCCTGGGGAGACAGCCTTGCCCTTCCCTCCTGCCCTCTGCTTCCCCACCCCCCACCCCCGAAGCCAACACACTCTTCTCAGTCCCCATCCTTCCACAGCTCACTGCCACCCACTCACGGGCATCTCGGGGAGCAGGTGACAGCGCGAGGAGCAGGTGCTGAAGAAGGCTGGACCGAGTGGAAATGACTGTAGAAGTGAGGGAAGTGGAAGTTGTCCCCAGCTGGAGGAAGAAGGATGGGAAGTTGGGAGAGAGATGGCTTCAGCAGCCACCCCCAAAGCAGGACAGCCGGGTCAGGGAGCTGTCTGCCTTTCTGCTGCTCTGGGAATTGGGGAGTGTTCTAGTTTCATTTCTCTTGCTGTGACAAATATCCTGGCAAGAGGCAACCTAGGGGTTATTTTATTGGTGAAATTATTAAGGCCACTCCACGTAGTTAAAAGGAGATTTATTTAATGGCGTAACTTACAAGTTAAGGGATAGGTAGGTCGCGGGGTCTGGGGAAGGTGTATCGCAGTCCAGCCGTGTTCTCTGGAGCTCTGCTTGGCCCACCTTCACTATCCAAGGTCCCGGAACCGAGTGACTGCGCCGACCATCCAGAGCTCAGGTCTCCAGGCGCCTCCCTTGGCCCCGCCTTGTAGGCATGACAGTTGCCGAAGTCTCAATGGGGGTTGGAACTTCCAGATCAAAGCTGGAATGGCTACCCACTACATTATTTGGCTTACAATTCCAGGTTCCAAAAATTCCACGTTAAGGTCCATCATAGCAGGGTAGTTGCCTGGAAGGAGTTTGCAATGCTGGTCACATTGTATCCACAGTCAAGAGCAAAGAGAGAACATAGGCATTTTTGCTGGCTCAGCTAGCTTTCCTCACACCTGCACAGTGTAAGATCCAGCCTGGGGAATGGCACTGCCCACAGTGGATTGGATCAATTAACAACCAAGACAACCATCCCCATAGACATGCCCACAGGCCAGCCTGATCCAGAAAATTCCTCAACTGAGACTCTCTTCCCAGGTGATTCTAGGTTGTAGCAAATTGACAGTTAAAACTATCATAGACAAAAAGGAGAGGGAGAATTCTCGTCTGAGTGACTGGGCCCCAGTATACTCCTTATTCTCACCCAAAACCAAAAATCCCTTTGTTACTATGCGGGTGTCTTTACCTACAAAATGGTACCCAACGTTAGTTTTGGGTGTCAATGTAATGGGACTGAGGGTTGCCTATGGAATTGGTAAGTAGGTATGTGGTAAGGGTTGCTTCTCTCATTGCTATGACAAAAGTAACTTAAGGAAGGTTTTGGGGGCTCACAGTTTGAGACTATAGTCCACCATGGAGGTGACGGGCCACATTGTAGCCACCATTAGAAAGCAGACAGAGATCAACGCAGCTGCTGATCTCAATTCCTCTCCTTACTTAGTTCTAGCCCCCAGCCTCTGGGATGGTGCCGCCCACAGTAAGGGTGCACATTCTCACAAGTGACCCAATCCTTTGTAGACATGTCAGAGGTTTGTCTCTCACTCAATTCTAGATCCTATCAAGTTGACAACATGAACCATCACAAGATGTTTCCACAGATCAGCGCCTAGAGCAGCACAGTGAGCAGGGAGGACCTGTTCTGAATGAGAGCAGGTACTGGCCAACCAGCTGTGGGCACAGACGGACCCGGAAGTGAACAAAGGCGATCTCTCCTCCTCCCATCTGGCCGCACGATCCGTCCTCCTCAAGGGCACTCCTAACATGATTCTAACTCAGTCCTATCGTGATTTTCTCAGCCATGATACAATGTAGGCAGCAGCAGCAGAGGGGTAGGGGGTTCACAGGGCCCTGCACCAATAGGGATACCCAATCTTAACTTTTCAGCCTCCGAAACTGTGGTTTAAATTAACTTCCCTTCTTTCTACCATACTCAGCCTTAAGTATTTGGTCATAGCAACAGAAAGCAAACTACAAGTATTGCCAGCACAGGGCACATTCTGGTCACCTCAGACAAGAGACACACCTAGTTCACCGCATCCCACCCCTTTCCTTTACAGAGGACTACCTACCCCAGTGGGAGAGACCTGATTCACTCTTTCCCAGGAAAAGAGGTACTGACTTCTAGCCTTGCCTCCCTTGCTCCTTTTAATGACTGCACACATTGGAAACCTGATATTGGCAATGAGTGATGCGCCTACCTGAATGCTGTCCTTGGCTTCTTGTCTACCTCTGGCTGTCCCACTCTCCCACCCCCACACACATACCATTTCTTCTCTCTCTCCATCCCCTCTTCAGCTCACCACCTTCAGATGCCCGCAACCTGCAGAAACTTGCTCTGGAGCCTCCTCGGTTCCCATTTTCTAAGCCTTACAGCTCAGTTGTTTAGATAAATTTCACATCTGTTCTTTAAGTCCGTCCAGTTTTTCTTCTGAGTTCTAAGATTTGTGACTCTAGCCATCCACAAGACATATTTATCTGTTAAAAAAAAAAAAAGCCAGGTGGTAGTGACACACGCTTTAATCCCAGCACTCGGGAGACAGAGGCAGGCAAATCTCTGAGTTCAAGGCCAGCCTGGTCTATAAAATGAGTTCCAGGACAGCAAAGGCTACACAGAGAAACCCTATCTCAAAAAATCAGAACACACACACACACACACACACACACACACACACACACACACACACACACACGTGTGTGTGTGTGTCTCAAGAGGAAACCTTCATGTTCTTCCCTACAAGTGCTTCTACTATTTTCTATTTCTGGGCCTGACAACCCCTTCTGCTGTCAACTTGACACAATCCAGAGTCACCTGGGAAGTGAATCTCAATGAGCGATTGTCTAGATCAGATTGGTGGTGGACATGTCTGTGGGGGAATTATCTTGACTGTGTTCATTGATGAGGGAAGGTCCAGCCAACTGTGGAGGGCACCATTCCTTAAGTAGGGATGTGAGACTGCATCAAGGTGAGAGAGAACCAACAGGCACACGTACATTCATTCTTCCTCTGCTCTTGACTGTGGGTGTGACTAGCTACTTCAAACTGCTTTGACATTCCTGCAATGATGGTCTGTAACCTGAAATTGTAAGCTAAATAAACCCTTCCTTAAAATTGCATGTCGGGGTGTTTTATCACAGCCACACAAATGAAACCAGAACACCTTTGCAAATCCAAAAGTCCTTCCCTCCTCTCATATTTATCCAACCACAAAACTGATCACACATCTGAAATATCACAGGACTCACAATTCCACTACCTGGACATTGTCTTCTTCTCCGGAGTAGGTTCATAGAGTAGCCGTCTCTCTATGCATCTTCCCTAGAGAGTGTTCAAGAAGTTGGCACTGGTCTAGTCATAAGTGGGTTGTTCTTCCTTCATCCCATTGTCCATATTGCTGCTGGTCCTCATTAAATCCTGGAGGTCTTTCCCTTGCTTGAAACCCTCCATAACTCCCCAGTTGAGTAGGATGGACTCCCTCTAAACCTTGTAACTCCCTTAAATCTATGTAAAAGGTATCTACTTCATGGATTTTTGCTTTGTATGTATTTTTTGCCTAGAACTCCATTTGTCCACCACCTGGTCAACCTCTATTGTAAACTAAGAATCACTGACGTATAAGGAATTCCCTAAACGTGGAGTCTTCAAATAGTAACAATTTCTTATTATCATGTCCCATGCTCTGGACTTGGCTGGGCTCACTGGGTGGTTCTTCTTAATGGTCTCATTGCAATTAGAGTCTGGGTTTGGAGTCTCCTTGAATGCTTTCTCAACTATACATCCAACTGGGTCAATTCTGTCCATAGACTGACGCTGTGGACTAGGACATCTGCACACAGCCTTCCCATGTGGCTTAGGCTTCCTCCCAACATGGCGGCTTTGTTCCTAGAACAACCATCCAGAAGGACAGACATCAAGAGAAAGCCTGTAACTTTTCCCTCACCTCACCCGGGAGTCCTGCAGCCTTCCTTATCTCATATTTTACTGAGCAAGGTTGCCACTAGGGTCTGCCCAGGGTCATGGGAAAGAACACAGACTTCATCACTCGGAGTGGGTGTGGCAGGGTTTAGAGACAGCACATGACATGGAATAGTGTATAACGCTCCTTTAAGAAAATACAACTCACCACAAGACAGCCCCTCCTCCAGGAGGCCCTGTGTGCCATTGCAGTTTGAAGGTGAGATGTGCTCCCCAGGACCATGTGCTCCCCAGGGCCGTGTGCTCCCCAGGACCATGTGTTCCCCAGGGCCGTGTGCTCCCCAGGACCATGTGTTCCCCAGGGCCATGTGCTCCCCAGGGCCGTGTGCTCCCCAAAACCGTGTGTTTCCTCAGGACCGTGTGTTTCCCCAGGACTGTGTGTTCCCCAGGACGATGTAGCACTTTGGTCTTCAGCTGGGGCGATGGTTTTTGGAAGGTCATGGACCCCGTAAGAGGTGGAACTCACTAGGGAAAGTGGGTCACTCTTGGGGGTGAGCTTGAAGTTTTACAACCCATCATCACTCCCTGCCTAGTCTCTATTTCCTGACTGTGGATGCAATGTGAACGGCTGTGTCGTGGCTTCTGAAGCCACACATTCCTTGCCACAATGGACCATATTCCTTCTTAAACTGTGACTCCAAAGAACTCTTTTCTTCCTCAAATTGCCCTTACAGGCATTTTGTCACAGCAACAGGAACACTGATACAGATGCACCCCTCCTGGACAGGCTAATCCTGTTTCTTTCCTTGCTCCTATTATCCTCCTACTGTATACACTGCTGTTATTCTTTATGCTTTCCTCTGGATCCATGAATGCACACAGTGGGCAGTGCTCATTGTTAGCCAGTTCACAATTGACTGAGAGATGGAAGAAGACCCTGATGTCGCCTGTGCTCTTTACAGAGCAGGTTAGGTACTTCCCGGGATGACCATGCTCAGGAGAGGGTGGCCAGAGGCGCTAGCTGGAGCTGCCTCCCTCCCAGGCACATGCATGCTCCCTGTACTTGCTGTTTAGCAAAATCATCTCCCCTGGGAAGTGTGCAATCAACCAGCAGGTGCACACACATGCAGAGCCTCCATCCAGAACTTTTCCGTCCCCACCACCCCCAGCACCACCTCCATTTTCTTGTGCTTCTAAAATGTCCAGTAGTGGAACTGTAGAGTGGTATGTCAATGGTAAGAAAGCCTGGAGGGCTGGTGGATGGTGGGAGACTCACAGGAGAGGCAGGGATACTACCCCATGTCTCCTGCCTCCTGCTCATCTCCCCCATCAGCTCCCCTGGAACCTCAGCGGGCAGAAATATCCCTTCTCATTTCCAGCCCTATTCCCCAGCTGCCTGGCCTGGATTGCTGGGGCCTCTGCAACCATTGTGTGCCGAGCCGTTCAGTGGGGGCAGCTCCCTGGTGGGCATCTACAGCCCCGCTGCCTGACAGGCCGTGTGCAAGGGGACAGGCCTGAATGACTGTAATATGAACCATGAAAGTGGATATTAAAGGCTTTATTACAGGGTGAGGACTGCTAATTGCCACGTTCCTTTCAGGAAGCCAGAGCTGATGAGCTTAAGCAGAGGCACCCAATTATTATAACTCTGTCAGCTCAGAGCTGGGGAGAGCAAGAGGGGGAGGAGGCAGGCTGCAGGCACGATTACCTGAACTTTATCCAAGGCACACACTGCCGGCCTGGAATTCTAAAGGGAGATTGCTTTTGCACGGAGCTGCCTCCCTGTCACAGCTGTGTTGTGGTTGATGACTGATTCCAGCCCTGCTCACCCTCTGCCCAGCTTTCTTGTAGGGGAAGCGTTGGCTGGTGAACAACATCTGACACCCAAGAACCTCCCTGGACCCTGTTGGTGACGTAGTTCCCCGTGCTGAGATCAGAAGTGGTGCTGGGCATGTCGGGATTGAGCTCCTTTACTCTCTTTTTGCATATGAGAAAGAAGCCAGGGGCTGAGGAGGATGCAGGGGGTGGGTGGGTAGGTGTAAAAATACTTGCTGCCCAAAGCACCCCCGTAAAGCTGGATGCAGTAGGGTGTATCACGCATCTGTAATCCCAATGCTCTTACGGCAGAAGGAGAATAAATGTAAGTGATAGCACATTCTCAGAAGTCTGCAAGTCAGCTAGCCTAGTGTGCAAAGAGTAAAGGAAAACAGGCTCCATCTCAAGCAAGGTGGAAGATGAGGAGCCACACCTGAGGTTGACCTCTGACACATGGTGTGCACACACTCCCACTCCCACAGGAGCATACACACACACACACACACACACACACACACACACACACACACACACACACAAAATCTGTATTCATACACACACAGAGTTTTTTTTTTAAGAGTCTCAGAGATGATGGGGACTTGGCCAGGTCACCAGTAGAGCAGGATGTGGACTGTTCACCTGTTTGCAACTTAAAGCTCCGGCTGCATGCATGTTCCAGACAGGGGTCAGGGATATGGGAGTCAACCAGAGTTTGTTAAAATGAATCGGCAGATGTGGGCATTGCACTCACCATGTACATGGGACACAAGATGAGCCTTCCCATGTATTCACAGAAACGAGGACTGTGCTGCGGAAGTGCTTGAAACAGCATCATCAGAATTCATCACCAGCATGCTCTAAGCATTCTTAACACTTTACATCTTGCAGAGGACTTTCTGAGAGTCTTTTAACTGTGGAGCATCTACTGGGAGCCAGGTGCAGGAGACACTGGAAAGGGAGTGAGGCTTCCATCTACAAGGAGTCCAAGCTATCAGACTGAGAATACCACGCGGAAAGAGCTAGATGGAGGCGTGTGCACACCTATCACCTCTTTTAATTTAATCATATAAATTTAAGCGATCTCAGTAAAAGGCTAATATCACAAGGTGTGACCTGCTCGTGCTGATTGAGCAGATGGCAAAGGACAGTAATTTCCTGGTAATAGAGCTACTGTCACACAAGGTGGTCAAGGGTGGGTTCTCTGGAGAGAGAACTTCGGTGGGTAGGATGTCAAAAGGCAGAGCGGAGAATCAAGAGCTGGGAAGAAGAGGAGAGTAGAGACAAGAGGGGTTTTCTCTCCCACCTCCAGCTGGAGGTTCCAGATCTGAAGTAATGATTCCTCCTATTGCGGTTTGAACGCAGAATGCCTCCCGGGAGACATTTTGAAGACTTGTTCCCTATCTCCCACTGCTTTTTTTGGAAGGCTGTGGAACTTTAGGGGTAGGCCTTGGCTGGGGGTAAGTGGGTCACTGGGGGTGGACCTGTTTCCAGTGAGCCTTGACCACCGTGTGTGACAGGAGCTCTCAAACCAGGAAATTACTGTCCTTTGCCATCTGCGCTACTCAATCAGCACGAGGCGGGTCACACCTTGTAGTATTAGCTTTTTATGTGCTATCACTTAAATTTATATGATTAAATTAAAGAGGTAATAGGTGTGCACACACCTCCATCTAGCTCTTTCCACGAGGTATTATCAGTCTGATGGCTCAAACTCCTTGCAGACAGAGGTGTTACTCTCAATGTAGCATGCCCTGTACCTTCCTCCCGCCCCAGGCCCCCCCCCCCATAGGTGCTCCACCGCTAAATGATCATCAGAAAGCCCTCTGCAAGCTGTTAAGCATTAAGGATATTAGGCTCTTTGTTCCCTCTGCTCTCTCTGATTCATTGTCCACTACTCTATGAAGAGTCCCTGCCCCATGATCCCACAGCCATGTCTTCTGCACCACAATGGACCGAGACGCCCTCAAACTGTGAGCTCAAAGAAGTCACAAAGTTGTTTTCTGCTCTGTCACAGCAATGCAGATTGAACACACTCCCTCAGGCTCATGCAAAAGCATCCAGCTGTCCTCGTCATGGTGCAGCCAGAACAGCATCACAAATATGCTCTCCCGCAGACTCAGATGCCCCAGTCTGGTGAGAACCCAAGATCTGGAAGTCCTTTCCCTCCCCCTGCTCAGGAGGATGACATCAGCCAGGCTGTCGTGAGTATGGAAGAAGGGGACTGTCACCCCCTTTCTGCAGAACTGTATATGCAAACATGTAGAGCTAACATGGCCAACTAGAGCTTCTCAGCACAAAGATACCTAATCAAGGGTTTTCCTTTACGTGATTCAAGATTGAGATGCCATGGAGAATTCCAGAGAATCACATGGAAATGTATGGGTTTGGATAAACCAAGGGCTTTTAGTGATAAAAATGCCAAGGAACA